CACACACACACACACACACACACACACACACACACACACACACACACGGTCAGTCTACACAGATTTCAACATCTGCAGTAGCCGGGGACGAGAGGAGGTGCACTCTGTTTACATCGATGATGCTTGGAGCTCAAACAGTCAAAGGTGATGAACTGTTATTCCCTGATGTAGAACATTTAATGTTAAGATATATTATCAGCCCAGATACTTGTTTTGTTGCTGTTGTTTTCATCCTTCCTGATGCACGTTCACAATAATGTAGTACAGGAATGCACTGCTGTTTTCTTGTTTAGCAAATAGGCCACAACTACAGTTCGTTGTGCAACTGTTTTGCATAATGACAGTAAATTATCCTCGGCTCCTAACCTGTGGGGTCCTGCTTGGTGATGAACGACTCAGTGCTGAAAGGCTGGGCGCGAGGTATCCGACAGGCAATACAGATCAGGCAGCTCTGCAGGTCTGAGGAAAGAGAGGACACAAGTGGTGAGGTGTGTGTGTGTGTGTGTGTGTCTGGTACTGTATGCCACAAACAAAAAAGAAAGAAAGCGTAACGGATAAAAAGTACGACTATGGATAAGTACCTCATACAACCAATGATACCACAATGATCAAAGCTTACCTCAACCCTCTAATTCACACAAAATACTAAATGTATATTTTTTACAATATCCCGAGGTGGTGAAAAAAGTACATGACAACCTGTCAAAAATCAAAAATCTGATCATTTTGGTTCCGCTATATAAAGGAGAAGCTGTATCAGCCAATCAAGGCTTGGAACTGTGTCATGCCAACAACAGATGTTGGAACTCAAAACCTACACAAAAGTAGGACGACGTCGGATACCGCGAGTACAATTCTACAATCCGCGAGAGCCAGGTCTTATCAAAATGAATAAAAGCAGGCAGAGTTCAACAGCAGAGTAAATCTGCAATGCAGGAACTATGTCATACTTCTTATCAAGGCCATTGCACCAACGGCTCCTCAAAAAAATATGAAAGCGTCCTGCAAGAATCTTGCCGCAGTCCAACTGGTCAGATGGAGGAAGTTGGGATAGTGGAACATTGTTTTAATACACTTTCACTCATGACAACAATAAAAAGGGTATTTATGGAGTATTTAACATCCTTTTAAGGGGACACAGCCCATGTTTACTGCATACAAAAATAAATCTATATTCTGTCTTATAAATATACAGTATCCATAGAACTAGGCCTTTTCAGAAAGAAAGGTGAAAGAAGAGAGCAAACAGTACAAAGATATCATATTATAATCAGCTTCCCTTGCTTAAATCCTCCGTATTGATTTGAATAACTCTACAATCTTAAGACTGAGCGCCTGCACACCGCGTGTAGTCAGTGTGTGTGTGTGTGTGTGTGTGTTTGTGTTTGCATGTACCCTCTCCCTCCTCCTGCATGGTCCGTAGTTGGGACACGGTGTAACACTGCATGATCTCATATTGCTGCCGAGCCTCCGGGTTTTCTGAATCCAACTCGTCCGGTGGCCTCTTCAGCATGCGACAGTTGAAGGTGTGGCTGTTCCTTCGGCCGGGCTCCTGTGGCCACTGCACGCCGTTTACTGGACAAGAGAGGACAATAAACACAACAGTTTAATATCAATGACAATTTACGGTTTTAATCAAAGCTAAAAAGAAATACTTCCCCTTTGGGAATATGTTAAAGGTAGCCTGTGGATTATGTTTTTATGAGCTGGCCCCCGTTTTTTTATTTAGTGATGCAATACACATTGCTGCCTTCGGTTTCGCACTATTCTACTGATTTACTGGTGGCCGTATTGCACCAACAAATGTAGAAGTGCGCCAGCAAAGGCAGGGAAGAAGAAGACTACTTCCAAGTAAACAGGAATTCAGCCGTTAAACTTAAAAAAGAAAAAGAAAAAAGGTTTTGTAAATGTTTTATGAGGAAGGATTCGTTGGTACGTACACAATAAAATACTTAATATGATATCTTGATATAAATCACAGTAGACAAGTCTAGGTCACCATGACCAGATCAAGTGATTTTGTTTCCCTTGATTTAAAAGAAGAAAAAAAAAAAAAAAAAAACTGTTGGAATTTCCTTTTTTGCCATCAATGATCTGTTTGCACTAGAACCTTTCTGGGTCCTGGGGTCCGTTTCACAACACTTTTAACATGAGATAATCTCACCTTGCGCTTGTTTTCGAACATTAAACACACTATTTAAAGCAAACGCTATACTTGCAATCTGTGTACAAGCGTACAAAATATATACATGGTAAATAAATTGTGAAGTGTGTTTGCGTCTAAGCAATGCTCGCAAAATGGCTATTGTGAAACGAGCACCTGCCCACTGAGCCCAGTCCAACACAGTTCCTGCTAAATCTCCTCTTGTCTCATTTGATGTTTTTTTTTCTTTTTCTTCCAGGGCTGCTGGAAGATGCCAATTTTGTTGAGTGAGTAATCACTCCTGGATCAAACAGAATGCAGCAGACTTGCAGATGTTACACACAATATTATGAAAAGTGGTATTTTTCCGCATTTTGCCCATTCAAATGTTTCTTTTTGGGTCGTTACAGCGCCCTAAAAATCACACCCAGATGTACTGAAGGACCCTCCTGTGTTACTGAGGTGGCGTAACTGATATTTGTGTCTAGTTCTCTATGAGAGTGGGTTTCCCCACTCAAGATCTCCCTCTCTGAGAAGAAGGAAGAGCTGTAGTGACTGGCACAACATTAAAAGAGATTACAAGATCAAAACAATACAACGGCTCAACCGTGACGCCTACTGCCCTCCTTTATCTATTGTCCTCATACGATCCCACACAGGCCCGCTACATTTTTTTTTTAAATCATCAGTGCTTCTCAAGGTTGCGGCTAAGAATTAAAACAACATTATCACAGGGAAGAAACAGTGTTTCACTCTTCCCTCGCTCCTCAAACTCCCCCACACATACTCTCTACTCTGACATACCGTTTCTTCGCTCTCCTGGAACATTCTTCAGCTTTGTGAAGAGCACTTGTATCTGAATCCATTCAAACTGTTCATAGTTCATCACGCTGCCTTTCTTCATGGCTCTTCAAATGTGCTTTAGCTACAGTATTCTCCATCAATGAACCAAGTTAATTATCCGTATTATGGACTGTGTTCTGATTTTGCTGCCAATACTGATCTCCTTAACAGGGTCGTCAGCATTGAAACTGTCAAATTTGAAGATACTGAAAATGCAATTACCAAATATCTTTAAAAAAAGAAAAGTTGGCGTCTTAAACCGATGATATAAAGTGTTGGACAGCAGATTCACGCATACCGAGTTAAAACCCACAGTCCCGGCTCACTCACCCAGGCTTTTGGGCAGCAGATTGCGAACAAATTCATTGTGGTCTCCCACGTGGAGCATGCTGTAGACACTCGAGGTCATCAGCTCGCCCTGGGCGTATCCGAGGTAGCTCGTCACGTTCTCTGAAACAAAGACGATGCGGCCCTCCCGGTTGACGACGAAGAAGAACCCATCAAGGGCCTGAAATGAGGAGAGGAAGAAGAGTAAATAATTAATTTAAAAAAAAAAAAATCTGTGTGTTGAGTTGGGAGTAACAATCCCAGCGGTGGTGGTGGTGAGTAAATGTGTGATTGTGTGTGTGTGTTGTTCACCTCAAGCAGCATGGGCCCCAGCGCCTCTTTCTCCACCAGCCCCTGGCTACTGGAGGAGATGTCGCTCTTCTGCACCTCATCATCTGGAGACAGAAGAGCTGCTTTCTCTGTCAGGGGTAAACAAACGCAAATCAGAAAACCTTTGTAGAGGCTGCAGACAAAAAAATATTTATTGTGAAAAATGTCTTTCCAACACCGCAAATCTAAAGCATGCGAACGTCTTCAAAGCAGCATATTTGGTTAAGCCTTTCACAAATCAGTCCATTGTGTGCGTGTGTCCTCACCCTGCTCGCGCCGTTTCATCTGCTGGATTTGGTCCACGGTACTCTTGAGGATGTGGCACTTGTCGGGCTTGGAACTGAGACTGGCAATGTCGCCCATGTTGGACGACAGCAGCTCAGCCAGCTCCTCGATGTAGCGGCACTCCAGCTCCCGTCGCCGCTTCTCCACACTGCGAAGAAAGGGAGCCCGTTCACTCGACCGGGACGGACGGACAAACCGCAAACTCGGGCCACGACTGTCGCCCGGCGCGGAGGCATAACTATCATGTGATCAGGTTTCCTTTAAATGTATGTTTCAATAGAGAACTGTGACTAAAATAATGTACTATGAACTTAAAACTTCCAGTGTTATCTGGTAACAATCTACAACAATGTAACGGAGACACTGTTTCCGAGTTACCTTTAATAGTTTTTTGTTATTTATTTGCCACGTATACATCGATACTAATATATCTGCAATAAGCTCAAAATAGAAGATTTACATGTCAAGCTCTAATTGGACAAAACAAGAGATTTGAGCTCTGAGGAGTTGTGATTATTATTTTGCTGATTACCGACACTCTAAAAATGAATAAGAAAATAATTTGTAGCAGTCCTGATCTTTACTTGATCTTCTGATACTTCTGTTTAAGTCCGTCTTAACATGGTGCGGTTTAATGTAAATGAAACATTTGAACATCTGCTCACGACAGTTTGTTTCTTTTTCAAACAACAGGTGGTTTAAATGATCAGTTTCAGAGTTGGGAATTGTTTAAGTAACATCGCAATGTGCTGTAAAAAGTGCCGTGGTTTTTCAACCGGCTGCTTGTGATTTCTTTCTGTGATATATAAACAAGAACGTTGCCGTAAGTAAAAAAAACATGGCAACTTAAATCTGCCTTTAACTGGAGCGTCTTCGGAGTCTATGCACAGCCTGAACAATATTCTCCAGATTCAATAATACACTTCCAAACCGACGAGTTGCAGCAAGGTATGTGGTAAACATGAAAAATAGGAATGTGTGAGTGAGTGTGTGACAACAGCAGAAAAAGTAGGTCAGTGCATTGGCCTGCCAGAACACACAGGCGTGGCGACCAAGGGAGGGGGGGGGGGGGGGGGGGGGGGGGGTGAGGACGCTGCTGAGTGTATGCGCAGGTCAGTGGCCGCATGTAGCTGCTGTAGAAATGCTAGCTGGGCTGTTACACCAGCTATTGGGCCCCACACACACACACACACACACACTACATTCATTCTTCACCACTACATGACCTGCCTTAAACCTGACCCTGACCTAAAACTTTAACCCTAAAACATGCAAGATCCAGATGATTGTATCTTTCTTCGCTCAGTGGCGGAGGAAGCCTTCAGATCCTTTAACTGAAGTAAAAGTACCAATACCACACTGTAGAAATACTCTCTGACAAGTAAAATCACTGCATTGAAAATGTTACTTAAGTAAAATGTTTGTATTATCAGGAAAAAGTAGTTAAAAGTACTCAGTGCAGAGAAATGTCCCCTGTGACATTTCTCATAACTCATCTAATAATATTTGAGTAACTAATGTCTTGTGATCTTTCAACAGCAAAGGTCACGCATTTCTTTTCATTATCAATCAAAGTGTGTCCCCAATTAATATTTTGACTTACCAGCCAAAAGGACTGAAATCTACTCTCTACTACTCTCAGTAGTTTTTAATGACGTACCCCGAGTTAACATTTCTGTTCACGTTAGAGCAGTGGCGGGCCGTGCATTTTATACCTGGGCCTTCACTGCTGTCCTGCAGCTGAAATACCACCTTATAACCACATTATGGCGCCACAGCTATTATTCATTTTTAATGCTGTAACTATGTACATCTTCGTATTAAACCATTCGGTACGAGTCGTTTGAATAATGCTAGAGCATTTAGAAAATGCAAAAGCCTAAATTCAGGAAAATATAATGATCTCAGCTGGTCTGGCTGTGGGACCTAACATCATTCCTTAATGACAAGCCGCGACCCAAAGAGATTATCATAGGATTTTACTTTCACAACTTGAACATTGAAGTACTGCTCTGCAATGTCTTTCCTCGTCTCAGCCCCGTGTCATGGTGTGTGGTACATCTTACTCGGGTCAGAATGCCCATATTTGATTGGCTGAGCTGCATCACGTGATGTGATTCACTACCCATCAGCCTCTGCTGGCTGTTAAGTTTCGTTTCACGATAGTCACGTGCTCGCCCACTGACCAATCACAGCACACTCTGCACCTCGCGGCAAAGCTACACATGGACACTGAGCGGCATGTAATGCTGACGTCATTATAGGCTGGCTAGCAGGCTCTGATAGTCAAAGAATGCGCCCAACATGTCAAACTAAAGATCTGATTGGTTGAACACTATGACAATCAACAATATCGTCCCCATTCACTTAAACTGCACTGGATGCACCCGAGAGTCTGCAGGCCTCTGCCTCTGTTCTTACCTAGAGACACAGAGGTGAAATCTGATTGGATAAAAGCTCTACTGAAAACAAACTGCACTGGAAGCAGAGCAACTGAGGAAGACAGTAGCTGTGCAATGAGAAAATAAGATCATGGGAAAAATATTTATATAAATTATAATACATGTAGTGTATTTAAGAAAAAATATTAAATTATAAAATAGATATAGCTTTGTGATTCTGTTGAGGCCAGCAGAGAAGACCTTGCAGGCCCTGACGGCCCACACTGCGTTAGAGTTGTAGTTCTGTAATGTTTGTAAACAGTCTCGGTATCAGAACAAGGTACGAGGCCGGGTGTTTACCTTTGCCCCGATGTGTCACATGGTGAGCCCTTCCTCTTGCGTGAGTCCGGCGTGGCAGGGTCCAGGGGGTTTTCCCCTACTGCGCTCATTTTCAGCTTTAACTGACCTGTAGAGGAAGAACACACGGTACGGCAAGGAAAGGTCGTTAATGGAATTTTCCATTTCATTAGAGCAAGTACTTCAGTAGTTTTCCCAAAACCTGATACACAAGTGTAAGTAGCTACTGAAACTGTCACTACTCCCAGCGACACCATTCTTTGAATACATTGATGAAACTGTACAGCAGGGTATCGAACTGTATTTATTATACGGCACAATGTTCGTGGTAAGGATCATAACATTCACCGCTCATTTGAACTTTGGTTTGAGGTCACAGTTCAGCCGAACAAAAACAGAAAAGCAAAAGATAACACTGTTTTTTATATTTTAGGTTTGTAAACAGTTGCACACGGACCGCAACTTTAAAATATCTGAATTAAAGACACAAATACAAGCATACAGTCGACACTTTCACAAAACTCTCCATAGATAAAAATGAAGAAAAAAAAGTGATGTTAGATTTGACGCACAAAAAAGGCAAAAGAATAAAAGCCGCCGATCATTAGAAGTGTAGTAACAGTAACTCTAGCTGCAGTAATGGACAGGATTGAATTATACTTTTTATTGGGGCTGTACCGAATAGTTTAAAGCTCCTTGCATAACGTGTTATTGCCGGGTCTATTCCTTGTGCTTAAACCCGATATTTCAGCCCAGTTGTAGATAAAAGATAAGGCAACACTAATATGTTCGGCATTACACTATTTATAGAATAAGGTTTCAGTGGTTGCTGCATTGTTTCTGAATTCTGACTGCGATCCAAAACGTTTCCAATAACCCCAGAGCGTTTAAAAATATATTTTTAAAAAAGGACATTGACGACATTGTTCATCTCAAACGAAATATTCAGCTTCAATTCCTTGTTGTTGTCATTTAGGCTTTTCAGAACACTAAAAAGCGGTTTGCTCTCCCGCACAGCAACACAAAATCTGATTTATTTTTCTCTCCTTTTTGTTTAGGGTGATGACATCGTACAATATGACGACAGACATTTGAAGCTTCATTTGAAAACCTCAAAAAGACGCTTGGAATTGTAAAAAGATGACATTCAGTCGAGCCCTACGCATAACATTTAAACTGCATTTAATTTGGTATTCGGACGCAAAAAGTAACATAAAGCTCTGCAACAAACCTGCCTGCTGGTACTGAATCGCCTCTATAGACATTTCCTCTGTAGTTTGTGGGAATGCATGTTGTGGATTTGCATTATATATATTTATTTTTTTATTTATTTATTTTTTAAAAAGCCTCTGTAATATTGTGTCTCTTATGTCTCTAATATCCCTCTTCAGTCTCCCTTAATGGACTCGTGCCCGTTCTTTTATCTACTAAGTCGACCGCCTGCACCTCTCTCGCTGCGTCGGGAGGGTAACCGTGGCAACAGGCAACATTTGACGAAGCCCACTGCGTGAAGAGGAAGAGTCCACGGGGTTCGTGCACGCTCCATCAGGTCAAATAGTTAAGTGAAAACCCTTTGGATGCCATCAAAAACTGAATTTAAGACCATTCCATTAATCCATACACTCAGACAAATCCACAAAAAGCAGTAAAGGAGGTGAAGTTCTGTCGTGTTTAGCAAACTGTAGAGACAGGCGGGGTTTATTATTTCATAACTAGCCTGTTGTTGACAAAAATCAGGTTTCTAAAAGATTTTCCCCGAGTCTAAAAGCCTTAAATGAGCACTGTGCACATCAGGATGGACTCAAGTCTCTTAATCTGTATAATCTGTAAAATCACATCCTTTCTTATCTCAATAACTATCCGTAAATCATAAACATACACAAATAAACTACAGACAAGCACAAAAGTGTTTCAAATTCAGGGGTTAACCGCACAAAACAAGCAGCCATTGTCACGGTGTCGGGTGCTGCCGCAGGGCCACGCTGCTCACAAGACGCTAATCTTTCCTGACTAGCCTCGTTTACATTTCACCTCAAATCCTCTCCCCCTCCC